ACACTAGCAACACTGTTCAGCTCCTAACGTTAGGCAACCCTAGCGCGTGTTCGCCGGCCACGGGGGCAGCAGCGCCTGCCTCCAGCGGCGAGACCTCGGCCGCTGCAGGTACGCGGGGCTCGGCGCAGGGCTGACGCGCGCTTTCCTCGTGAGTTGGCGCGGCGGTGCGGCGCCCGGCTCAACCCCGCACCCGTCTCACCGCCGCCCGGGCGGCCTGTAGGCGCCAACGGCGGAGGGATGGCCTCGTTACAGCCTCATCCAGCGGCATCACAGAGTCGGCCCAGCCCGCCTGCGACGCGTCAGATCGGTGACACTTCAGTCTTCAAACCTGATAGTTCGCCGTCGATCCAGGGCGCGGGCGCGGTGCTCGACGTGCTCGGCGGTGCGTGTCACTGTAATTGCGTAAAAAGAGAGCGCGAGAGAGGTTAGTGTCGGTTAGACTCAGAAGAGAGCGCGCTGTGCGGCCGCGGGGGCGCGCATCAGAAATCGCCTTTTTTCGCTGCTCAACACACTATAGAAGACGGAGCTCGCATGCGGGCAAATCTTCTCACTGCCCCGGCGCCCACGCCTCGATCTTCTTGGGCAGCAGCTGGTACGACAGGTCCTCTCCGTGGCCTAGGCAGCCGCGTTTACCCTCGCCCCAGGTAAAGACGGCGCCGTCGGCGGTGATGGCGAGGCTGTGGTATGTTCCCGCCGACACGAAGACGACGCGCTGGCCAGCAAAGGCCTCGATCTTCTTTGGCAGCGGCTGGGTCTGCTCGTCGCCGTGGCCCAGCTGGCCGTGGCCTCCATAGCCCCAGCTCCAGACAGATCCGTCGGCGGTGATGGCGAAGCTGTGCAAATCTCCCGCCGACACGGTGACAGCGCGCCGCCCTGCAAAGGCCTCGACCTTCTTGGGCAGCAGCTGCTCCTGCTCGTCGCCGTGGCCCAGCTGGCCAGAGTATCCCAAGCCCCAGCTCCAGACGGAGCCGTCGGTGGTGATGGCGAGGCTGCGGTATCCTCCAGCCGACACAGCGACGACGCACTGGCCCGCCAAGGCCCCAACCTTCTTGGGCAGCAGCTGCGACTCCTGGTCGCCGTGGCCCAACTGGCCTCTTCCTCCATGGCCCCAGCTCCAGACGTCGCCGTCAGCGGTGAGGGCGAGGCTGTGGTTCATCCCTGCCGACACAGTGACGACGCGCCGGCCAGTAAAGGCCTTGACCTTTTTGGGCAGCAGCTGGTGCTGCGCGTTGCCATGGCCCAGCCGGCCAAAGACTCCATGGCCCCAGCTCCAGACAGCTCCGTCGGCGGTGAGGGCGAGGCTGTGGCTCTGTCCAGCCGACACAGCGACGACACGCCGCCCAGCAAAGGCCTCGACCTTCTTTGGCTGCCACTGGTCCTCCCAGTCGCCGTGGCCCAGTCCAAAGCCTCCATCACCCCAGCTCCACACAGCGCCGTCGGCGGTGAGGGCGAGGCTGTGACAATCGCCAGCCGAAACACTCACGGCGCGCTCGCCGCCCGGCGTTGCGGGGAGGCGGGTCGGCGTGTTGAGCTGCGTTACGCCCTCGCCGTGACCGAGAAGGCCTGGTGATTCCTCCTCCTCGTCGTCTTCCTCCTCCTCCTCCTCCTCCTCGCCCTCCGCTGCCGTTCCGCACGACGAGAGCCGCCCCTCGCCGTTGATGAAGACGCTGTGCCGTTCGCCTGCTGCCGCCCTCGCCGGCCGGTTGGACTCGTGCAGCAACGCCGAAAAGCACAGCCACCGCACGGCGCAGCCCTCGCCCGCTGGCGGCGGCGGCAGCTCGAAGCCGCGCTCTTGCGCCCACAAGCGGATGCCCTCCTCCGCAAGCGAGGCGTGGAAGAGCAGCGAGACGGCCGCGACGCGAGCGATGTCGATGGGGCTGTTGAAGCGGGAGAGGACGCGCTCGAGGAGCTCCCTGGGGAGGTCGAGGAGCCGGGCGGGCGGCGGCGTGCTCGGCGAGGGAGCGGCGGTGGCGGCGGCGGCAAGGCGGCGCGAGCGGCGGCGCGGCGGGGTGGACATCGCGAGGAAAAGAAACACGCGACTCTGCGCGTGCCACGCACACCGCCACGTTGCTCGGTTGCTCGGAGCGACTGCGCGCCGTTCGCGAGCGGGGGCGAGGTCGCCGCCGCTGCTGGCTGTGAACGCTCCCGGGCGGCCCTTATTTGGCCCGCACCCCCACCCGCCACCCGGACCCGGGCTAGCGCCCAGAGGTGAGGGGGGTCGCGGAGCTATGAATCGGAGATCGCCGTACAACTGCCACGCCGCTAACGCTTCCCAAACACTCTCGTACCGTCGATTGCACAGGCGTGTAGACGCTATTGACTGGCCAGTCGTCGCCCTCAGAGAGAGAGACGCAGAGACCTCAGAGGTAATCGTGACGACACACAGCTTGTGAGCCACGTCGCCCGGGCGGAGAGCGCGCGCCACGCGCTGTGCCACACACGCTCCGCACAGCTCGCGCCGCCCATGCGCTCAAATAGGGGAGGGCAGCAGGGGCGGGTTCCCGCGCTTACAATTGTACTCGTTGGCGACGGTCCTTCCGGAGGCCGCGTTCCAGGGTCATGAAGACGCTGCGCTCGACGGTTGTGCGTGCGGCTGGCAGTAGGCTGCTGAGCGCGCGTGCGGCAGCTGCGTCGGTGCTCGATGGCGCGGTCGACACCTCGAGCGCCTCTTTCCTCGCGAACGCCGCGCGGATGGACGAGCAGCTGATAGAGGTTCGCTCGGCGACAGCGGTGGCACACGAGGGCGGTGGCCCGCGCGCGCGGGCGCTGCACACGGCACGCGGCAAGATGCTCGCGCGGCAGCGCGTCGAGGCCCTCCTCGACCCCGGCTCGCCCTTCCTTGAGCTCTCCCCGCTCGCCGGCCACGACCTGTACGGCGACGAAGCGGTGCCGTCGGGCGGCGTGGTGACGGGCGTCGGCTCGGTGAGCGGGCGACTGGTGATGATCGTGGCGAACGACGCGACGGTCAAGGGAGGGACCTACTACCCGATCACGGTGAAGAAGCACCTTCGCGCGCAAGAGGTGCAGAACAGACGCCTTCACACCTCCTCTTCACGCCTCCTCTTCACGCCTTCAGCCGCGATCGTCAGGTTGCGGCGCAGAACCGGCTGCCGTGCGTCTACCTCGTCGACTCGGGCGGCGCCAACCTGCCGCGGCAGGCCGACGTCTTCCCCGACAAGGAGCACTTCGGCCGCATCTTCTTCAACCAGGCGAGGATGTCGGCTGCCGGAGTGCCGCAGCTGGCGCTCGTCTGCGGCAGCTGCACCGCCGGCGGGGCGTACGTGCCCGCGATGGCCGACGAGGCGGTGATCGTGCGTGGCAACGGCACCATCTTCCTCGGGGGGCCGCCGCTCGTCAAGGCGGCCACCGGCGAAGAGGTCACGGCGGAGGAGCTGGGCGGCGCAGACGTGCACTGCAAGACCTCGGGCGTGACCGACCACTACGCGCTCGATGAGCCGCACGGTCTGAGGCTGGCGCGCCAGATGGTCGCCTCGCTCCCGCCCTCGCAGGGCGGGTCGCTGCCCCGCGCGGACGCGCGGCCGCCGCTCTTCGACCCGGCGGAGCTCCGCGGTTTGGTACCGGCGGACTCGCGCCAGCCGCTGCCGATGCGTCGCGTGCTCGCCCGTGTGCTGGACGGGTCTGAGCTGAGCGAGTTCAAGGCGGAGTACGGCTCGACGCTGATCACCGGGTGCCGGATCGCCGAGACGCAGCCGACACACCGCCGAGATGCAGCCGAGATGGAGGGAGGGAGGAGACGCCCGCCTGCACGGGCGAGAGGAGCGGCGCAGCGGCCCACACACCGCGCGCGTGGACGGCGCCTCTTCACGGCGGCGTGTCTCTGGTGTGGAACAGGTTTGGGTCCGTGCACGGGTACCGGGTCGGCGTCGTGGCAAACGACGGCGTGCTCTTCTCCGAGTCGGCGCAGAAGGGGGCCCACTTTGTGCAGCTGTGCGCGCAGCGCGGCATCCCGCTCCTCTTTGTGCAGAATATCACCGGTCCGTATCTCCCCATATCTGCCCATATCTCGCAGGAGCGACTTCTCCTCTCGCTCAGTAAGCTGTCCGTATCTCCCCATATCTCCCCATATCTCCCCACATCTCCCCACATCTCCCCACACCTCCCCACATCTCCCCACATCTCCCCACCTCTCCCCACCTCTCGCAGGCTTCATGGTGGGCAAGGCTGCCGAGCACGAGGGCATCGCCAAGCACGGCGCGAAGCTGGTCAACGCGGTCGCGACCGCCAACGTGCCAAAGCTGACCGTGGTGGTCGGCGGCTCGTTCGGCGCGGGGAACTATGGCATGTGCGGCCGGGCCTACTCGCCGCGGTTCATGTTCATGTGGCCAAACTCGCGCATCGGCGTCATGGGGGGCGAGCAGGCCCGGCCGCGCCTGTTCACAGCTAGAGGTGTGAAGAGACGCTGTTCACGCATCGGCGTCATGGGGGGCGAGCAGGCGGCGGGCGTGCTCTGTCAGGTCAAGGAGGCGCAGGCGGCGCGTGCGGGCGCGCCGCTCGACGCGCGGCTTCACGGCTTGAGCCTTTGACCGGCGCCTCCTCACGGCGGCCCGGTGTGTCGTCAGGCACGCCGCTCGACGCGCCGGGCCTCGAGAAGTACCGCGAGAGCATCCGCGGCCGCTTCGACGGCGAGGCGAACCCGCTGTACGCGACGGCGCGCCTCTGGGAGGGGCGGCACGTCGCGAGGGTCGCCGAGATTGCCCGAGCTCACCCGAGATTGGCTCCACCTCAGGCGCGCCTCTGGGACGACGGCATCATCGAGCCCGAGTCCACCCGCGACGTGCTCGGGCTGGCGCTCGCCGCGGCGGACGAGGCGCCCGTCGAGGAGACGCGCTTCGGCGTCTTCCGCATGTGAGAGGGGGGGGGGGGGGGGGAGTGGAGAGGGCACTTTTGGAGTAAGCAGCGATTGTCCCGCGCCGGGAGATGCGCAACGATTGCCGGGGAGAGAGACGGCGGCCCCGCGTCCCCACGAAGAGAGGGAGAGGGGTTTTAATTTCCCAAGAGAGATACCGATAAGTGCCTCAAGAGCGGCGCGCAATACACCGCAATTTGCAGGAAAGCTCAACAGCGCGCTCGTCGTGTGAGCGCGGGCCGCGAGATTAACGATAAACCGCAAGTATCCGCTCTCTATCGGTTTCGCAGCAGCAGCCCCTGTGGCGGGATCCGCTCGATGGCTGCATCGAGCGCCCCGTAGATGCCTCGCAGCTGCTGGGCCGCGCCGCTGTCGACGCCGTGGTGGGAGGGCGTGAAGGGCGGGAAGTGGCTGCGCGCGGCGAGCGGCACGTCGAGGAAGTCGAGGATCGAAGGGACGGACGCGTTGAGCGTCTCGTACCGCACGACGAGGATGTCGGACGTGCAGCGCGGCGCACGGCAAGAGAGCCAGGAGCGGAACTGGGCCATGGTACCGAAGAGGTCGGCGCCTGCGCGCGGCCGCGGGGCGGCGCCGGTGGGGGTGGGGAGGGAGGAGGCGCGGCGACCACGCAACGACAACCGCAGAGCACGCGACATTGAAGACACTGCTGGCGCGAGCGGCGGCAAGTCGACTCTATCGGCGGCGGCCGGCCCTCCCCGGGCGGGGGGTCTCACCGTTGGAGGCAAAGGCGTCGAGCGACGCGAGAGGCCCCGCAGTCGGCACGCGGCAGCTGGGGCAGGTGGTGGGGCGAGGGACACGGAAGCTGGGGTGGCGCGGGTGGCGCGAGGAGGGCGGGCGGGGCGCGACGGACGGGGGAGGGGGGGTGGGTGGCGCACGAGGAGGCTGCGGCGCCGAACTGCTGCCGAAAGGCGACCACGCCTGACTGGTTGCATGGGATGAGGCCCTCGCGTTGCTTTCGCGTGAACCAGCAGTCGTTGAGGCGGTAGAGGTGCCAGCACTGGAACTTGCGGCGGAAGACGGAGGCGACCGCCTCGATCGGCGAGCCCACGAGGAAGATGGCCTTATGGTCAGGAAACCGGTTCAGAGCGCTCGGGTCGGCCAGGTGCTTGAAGACTCCGTCGTCGTCGACGTGGCATGACAGCAGGTGGCGCGCCGGGCCGCCGTCGGAGAGGGGCGCGCAGCCGCACGGGCGGCTGACGAGCGGCTTCTCGCGCCTCAGCCCGTCTCTGCAGTCCGCACTCTCCTGGTACGCCTGCTCGAGCCCGCGAAACCACTCAAGCAGGAACGTCGAGCCGACGCCACCCATCGAGGTGACCGAGAAGGTGCCGCGAAACTGGCCCGGCTGCGGCGGGCGACAAAAGCGGTCCTGCGGCATATCGCACTCTGCGAGGCCGGCTGGAGGGTTTGGCATGTTTGTTGTGGCCCGCGAAGACCGTCCCGCGAAGCTGAGGAGGCGGCGAATAAATAAATCAAACAGGTATTTTCCCATTTCGTGCCTACCCAACCTCAATTTTATATAGCAGGGCCCGCCCCCAGTTCGGTCTAGCGTAGACTGAACAGGCGCTCGTGCGAGCCCTACCGCATCCCGAAAGTCGCAACTGAGGCGGCGGGCCCCCGTGGCGTGACCCAGCGGAGCACTCCTTCGCCGCTCGTCATGATCGGTAATGTCCGAGCAGCTGTGCGGACGGCTTCTTGTCGCTCTCGTCGAGAGCGTTTTGGCGGCCCGGCGGGTGGGAGAATCTGTGTCGTCTGATGTGTCACTGTGTACGTCACATCGGTCTTGATAACAAGCACGGTCAATCCGTCAAAGCGATACACTCGTTCCTATCTCGCTGGAGGGCTGGCACGGAGCTCTGTGCCGACAAACAGGAAGAGCCGAGCGGCAAGAAGGGCTCGATGGGGAGCGAGAAGCGTCAGAAGAGCTTCAGGTGTGACCTGAAGTCCGTCGTGACGCTCTTATTTCCCCCCAGGTTTGAGAGATTTTTAGCAATACCAAACAACTCTAACACTCACACGTCATTTGGGGCCTGGAGCCCTGTTCACGCGCGCGCGAGACGTGCAGACAGGGTTGCCAGGTGAGAGCGAATGGCGCGGTTCACGCCTCGCACAACAGAGAGAGAGATGCGCTCTGCATGGTGGGACATAAAAGAGAGCGAGTACTTGGGCGAGTAGGCCGTGCGGTCGACGCTGCCGCGCGCGACTTTGCGCGCGCAGGTTTGACCGCGCAGCTTTCAAAATTCGACGATATCTTCCGGAAAGACTGAACTTCCCGCAGCTCGGCAGCATGAGAGGCGCAGAGAGGCTGCGAAAAAGTAATATATCTTTACTTCCAACACCCGGACGTTCCCAGGGTGATGGAAGGTTCGACGCACCCCCGGACTGGGCGGAGAGGTCCCAGGAAACAAAGGCCTGGGCTGTCCGCCCCGCCCCCACTTGCCCTGACTGCACAGGATAGCGTGCCCCGACAAACGGCGACACATAGCGGGGGACACTGCGCCGGGGGGTATGCCTAACTTTGGTGCTTTGTGTGGGTCGCGTTCCCTTGGTAGCTGCGTGGTTGAAGCCCTCGTGCCGCTGGCTTGCCCCTTCCAGCGGCTGGCCCCTCGAGACTGTCGGTGCTTGGCGGGAGGAGGGGGAGAGGGAGGCCCGGTGGGAGGAGAGGGAGAGGGAGGCCCGGTGGGAGGAGAGGGAGAGGGAGGCCCGGTGGGAGGGGAGGGAGAGGGAGGCCGTCTTGGGCTCTTCTCCTCCCCCCTCCCTGGGCTCTTCTCCTCTCCCCACCCTGGGCTCTTCTCCCCTCCTCCCTGGTACTCTCGGCCTGATTACCGGAGCGACTGCCGGAGCAGACGCTGGGGGGACACTCGCGCCCGGAGGCGGTACGCACGACCCGGAGGCGTGGGGATGGGGGGGGGCCGCGCCGCCGCCGCCGTGCCGCCTTCTCCCGCTTTGACCTCCCCCAGCTGCTTCTCCTCAAATCAACCTGTGAGCTTGCGAGGCGGCGGGGGTGGGAGTGCTCTCGGGCGGCGTGTGCGAGCGCGCGCGGCGCGAGATCTCCTTCGCGAGGGCACGGTGGGTCGGGTGAGTATCTCGCGCGCTCGCACTATTTCACGTTATATCAAGCACTGCCTTTGATGCCTTTGCAAGAACCGCCAGCGGCGGTGGTCGAACCGGTTCGCGGTTCGAGCCGGGACCTTTTGGCTCCCGGTTCGGAACTCGCTTGGAGGGTTGCTTCGCTCTCGCGGAGCGAGCGCGGGCGCGTGGGTGCGTGTGCGCGTGCGCTGCTGCAAGGCGAGGCGAGGCGAGGCGCGGGGCGGCGCGGCGCGGCGAGGCGGGCGGCGGCGGCGCGCGGTCGTTCTTTTTGCCCGGGTGAGGCGTGGCTTGCGCGCCGCGCGGTGATGACGCAGCACGCTGAAAAGTCCTTGGTGAGCCACCGCGGTGGCAGCGAGCCAAAGCAACCACCTGCCGCATGACGGGTTGACCGACGGCGTCTCTTTTTTCTTTCGCAGAGAGGCTGCGAGTGCTCGACGAGTCTTGCGAGCTGCGCGGTCAAACCTGGGGGGAACCGACCGCATCAGGGTGGATTTCCGAAACCTCCGTGAGCACCTTTGTCGGTTCTAACTCCCCATCGAGCCCTTCTTGCCGCTCGGCTCTTCCTGTTTGTCGGCACAGAGCTCCGTGCCAGCCCTCCAGAGATAGGAACGAGTCGCTTCGACGGATCGACCGTGCTTGTTATCAAGACCGATGTGACGTACACAGTGACACATCAGACGACAGAGATTCTCCCACCCGCCGGGCCGCCAAAACGCTCTCGACGAGAGCGACAAGAAGCCGTCCGCACAGCAAGCCGGTGGAGCCGAGCGCGCGGAATCGACGATGGCGTGCCGGCCATGGGCCCGGACGAAGGTCCTGGCTCGAAAACGCGAGCAGAGGCTGCCAGGAACGACGTGCCGCGGCTCGCCGCGCATCTGTTGCGACCGACGACGTGCCCGACGCCGTCCCGCGGCCGCCAGGAAGAGGCCCGCGCAACCACTTCTGGGACCCGCGGCCGCCGGGCGTGTGGCGGCACAACGAGTCGAACGAACCGAACCAGCGCAGAGCGGCGCGTCTCACGAGCGCCCGCGGCCGCCACGCCGCCGCCGTCCGCGGCCGACCGTGGTCGCGAATCAACGCGGCGCGGTGCACCGCTGCGCCTGTCCTTCCGCGCCGCTGGACGTCGGCCGAGAAGACCGCTTCCCTCTGGGGACCCGACTCCGCGAAGATCGCGCGCGCGTCGTGAGTGGCGGCGCGCGCGCGATCTCTGTTCCCGGGCACGCCGGTCGCAGTGGCATGGGATCCCAGGCTCAAAAGCGCTCAACAGCGAGCTGCTCCTCCTCCTGCCGCCGCTCCGCTCACCGAGACAACTCGGTGCCGCCGTTCTCGCCGCCGCCGCCGCCGCCGCCGCCTCGCGCCTTGCCTCCGTCACCGCCGCCCTCCATCTCGCAGCGGCGCGTCCCTCTGATGGCGCGGGCTCCTCGCTCGTTGGCGCCTCGCCGCCGCCCCCCCTCTCGCCGCCACTCCGCTCGTGGCCGCCCCATCCCCTGTCAATCCCGCCGCCTCCCCTGTCAATCCCCCCCACCGCCGCCACCGCCTCGCGCGTTTAGCGGGCCTTTAAGCTTAGGAATCCTAAATAGAGGACAGCCTATAAAGTGTGAGTCACACACACACACACACACAGCCTATAAAGAAAAGAAACGCAATGTCGAAGGTGCCACCTTATCAACCGCAAAAATAGGCCCGCGCGTGCTGCGCGGGCCCGGCGAGCGACTAGCGAGCCAACCTGCTAGTAAATAAATAAAAAAACGGGCAAACTCTGAGACGAGATGGGATTTAGGGACATGTGTCCCCGCCCTGCACGATCTTGGTGTGAGGGATCTTCAATCCGTCCCCTCACCCCCTGGTCACTACCCGACACTAGAGAGCAGCAAGAGTTGGGGCTGCGGCTACGGCTGCGGCTGCGGGAGGGGCTATGGTCGCGGGAGAGCCGCTGCGCCGCGTGGGCGCGCCTACACCGCGCTTGCTCCGCTCGCCACCTCTCGCAAAGGTCCAAAGTCATAGCCATCACCTCCTCCGGCAAGTCCTTTTCGCCTATCTCGCCGTCCCTCCATGCCTGGTAGAGCTCGTCGTCATAGCCATATTGCATCACAGCCTGCTGCACTGCGTCGTGCACAACCCCTGCCACCCTATCCCGCGCCTCAGCGTCGGAAAATTCGAGCTCGGAGTCATACCCGGAAGCAGGCGCAGACGGCCGCGGCGATTTGGCAGGCGGCGAGGTGGGGGAGGGAGAGCGCGGCGGTGCGCGCTCGGTGCTCCCGCTGGTGCCAGAAGGGCCAGCGCCCAATGCGCTCAGCCTGTTCTTGTCCACCACCTTGGGAGAAGGGGCGAAGCAAACAGGAGCACTTGGAGCACTTGGAGTGCAGTCATTAACCTCACATCCAGGGCCGGGGAGCTCAGAAGCGCACCCAGCGGGCCGGATGATCGGTATCGGGCTACGGGCTAGAGAGCCCTGACCCCTAGGGGGGGGTGCGCGTTCGCAGGGCAAGGGCCTTAAAGTAAACACAGTTCTCCGAGAGGGCTCCGTGTACCGGGTTTCCCCTTAACTGCAGAACGCCCCCTCTACTCGGAGCTAGTGGACACGGACACTACGACACCACCCGTCACGTACACACACGACTGTCTAACGTGTACACTGCCCGGCCTCGTCCCCCACCCTTCAGGGTACTACTTTTATATGGTATGGTGCCAACTCACCTCGAGACCATACCTCCCCGCCTGCTGACAGACCCAGCCTCCCGCCGACGGGACCATCCCCCCCCCCCCCCCCCCTCCCTCGCCCCACCTCCGCCGGCCGCCTTACTTAGGCTCCAGGAGGCTGCAGACACCAACACTTAGGACCCAGAGATCGCTCCTCATCGAGCCCTTCTTGTCACTGTGTGCGTCATGCTCAGAAGCTTCTTCGCGTTCCTCGCGGTACTCAGCACGGGCGGCTCAGCCGCGCTCCTCTTCAAGTGTCTGCCGCTGATCGTCAGGACACTGCCGCTGCCGGGGCCGCGGCCCACGCCCCCGCCGCTCCCGCCGCTCTCGCTGCCGTCGCCGCCATCGTCCCCGCCGTCTCCACCGTCCGGTCCTCTCACCGGCTACGGTTTCTTCGAGTCGTGCCGCGAGGTCGGCTGGTCTAGTTCGGGGAACCCTTACCCATACGGCCTCGCCCTGACTGTCACGTTTAGCCCCGACACGGACATGGACGGCGTGTACATCGAGGCGGCCACGCCGGAGGGCTCTGCCTGCGGCTGGTTCTACTGGCCCAAGCTTTGCTGGCTCAACCTGCTCTGCGCCTGCTGCATCATCGCGGTGAGCGGGGTGAGCATCAAGGCTTTCGCCTACTACTCGCAGGGAAGCTTCACGTGCGTGCTCGACAACATCGCAGGTGACCTGACGCAGGTGACCCCAGAGAATCAGCGAATGATGACGTCGCCCTGGGCGTCTGTGGATCTGGAGATTCGCCGGCTCACCCTGCGCTGCCACGCCCTGACGCCTGACGCCAAGAAGCCCTCGCTCGACTCGCCGCTCTCCGACCCCGGCCGCCTCTGCCAGCCCTACCTGCTCCGCATCTTCATCGCCTTCCTCGCGGTCGTCGGCATGGGCATCTTGAGGATCAACAGGTATATGGCATCGGCCATCCAAGCACCCCTCGCCGACGATGCTCCGGCTGCTGTGGATCGGGCAAGTCGCGGCGAACAACAGGGGAAGGCGGAGGCAAAGGACGACGAGGCGCCCGTGAGCGCGACGGCGAGTTCTTTAGTGCAGCCCCTCCCCGCCCCCTCCTCACGCCCTCCGCCTCGCGGGGCCTCACCCTGGCTCTCTCCGCGCGCCGCCACAGGGCGACTGGAAAACGAAACCGCTCGAGAACGAGCGCAAGACTGAGTCCAAGATGGACTCCTCTGAGGCCGCCAAGCACGGCGCCAACTGGTTTGGGGCCCTCTCCGGCGCGGAGGGGGGGGGCGGGGGCGACGGCGGCAAGGCGTGCGGCGAGGCGTCCGACGGCTCCGACTCGCCGCCCTACCCCTCGGTGCGCGCTCCTGCCAGAGACCGCACCTTCTCACTGCGCCGTGGGAGACGGCGCCCGACTCGCTCTGCGCCCCGCCTGCCCGCTCAGGGCACGCCCCTCTCGCCCAAGAATCGGGCCAAGAGGCTCTCGCTCGACTCGCCGCGCTGCGGCCCCGGCCGCCTCTGCCAGCCCCACCTGCTCAGCATCTTCATCGCCTTCTCGTGGCTCGCGATGGGTCCGCCAAAGGTCGCCGCCGCGGTCGCCACCCTGGCCGTCGTCGGCAAGGTGACGTGGCGCCGCAACTCAAATGCCCGCCGCCTCGGCTGTTCCACAGCCTGCTCGGCGTCCTACTCTGCTTGGCCACCGTCGCTGGCGGTGATCTGTCGCTGGCGGCGCCGCGCTCGTCGCATCCTCAACGACCGTGCTCTTCATCACAGCTGCCCTCCTCGTCGCCGCAGTTTGCAGCTGGCGGCTCGTCGGGATGGCAGGCGGCCGAGACGACAAGGGCAGCTCGAGATCCGCCTCGCTCGAGCCTGCCGAACGTCGTTCCCGCCATCGCACGCCGTCTCAGATTCACCACCAGCAGTTCAACTCACATAGCTGCTTGGTCCTGCTTTGCGCCTTTGGTATGCTTGCTCCTTGCGAGGCTCAGTTTTCGACACGAGCTTTCGTCCAGCGCGGGTTTCCGGGTACGAATGGGCGACATTACGCTAATCGTTACGCCTTTGCCGCGGTCAAGGCGGACGGCGCCGTCACCGCGTGGGGCTGGTCTCCGTACGGCGGCAGCGGCGCGCCGACCGACACCGGCTACACCGCCATCTACTCGACTTGTTGCGCCTTTGCCGCGGTCAAGGCGGACGGCGCCGTCACCGCGTGGGGCGGCTCTTCGTACGGCGGCAGCGGCGCGCCGACCGATACCGGCTACACCGCCATCTACTCGACGGGGTACGCCTTTGCCGCGGTCAAGGCGGACGGCGCCGTCACCGCGTGGGGCGGCTCTTCGTACGGCGGCAGCGGCGCGCCGACCGATACCGGCTACACCGCCATCTACTCGACTTGGCACGCCTTTGCCGCGGTCAAGGCGGACGGCGCCGTCACCGCGTGGGGCAATCCTTCGTGGGGCGGCAGCGGCGCGCCGACCGACACCGGCTACACCGCCATCTACTCGACGGGGCACGCCTTTGCCGCGGTCAAGGCGGACGGCGCCGTCACCGCGTGGGGCGACTCTTCGTACGGCGGCAGCGGCGCGCCGACCGACACCGGCTACACCGCCATCTACTCGACTGCGCACGCCTTGCCGC